CAAAAACAGTGAGATGAACCTTGGGGTCCTAGTGGACGATAATTTGACTATGAGCCAGCAATGTGCAGCAGTAGCCAAAAAAATTAATAAAATTCTGGGTTGTATAAACAGAGGCATAGAACCCAGATCACACGAAGTATTAGTACAGCTTTGTAAAACCGTAGTGAAACCACACCTGGAATACTGCAACCAATTTTGGTCACCATACTACAAAAAAGATGTTGAGATCTTGGAAAAAGTTCAGAGAAGAGCAACTAAGATGATCCAAGGCCTGTAGATTAAAACAAATGAAAAATGGCTGCAGGACTTGGGCTTGGCTAGTCTAAAGAAAAGAAGAAATACGGAGACATGATAGCAGCATTGTAGTATTTGAGAGGCTGCCACAAAGAAGAGGGGGTCAAATTATTCTCCAAAGCACCAGAGGGCAGGACAAGAAACAATGGTTGGAAACTGATCAAAGAGAGAAGCAACCTGGAATTAAGGAGAAAGTTCCTAACAGTGAAGACAATTAACCAGTGGAACAGTTTGCCTTCAGAAATCATGGGCACTCCATCACTGGAGATTTTTAAGAAGAGACTGGACAGTCATTTGTCTGAGATGGTATAGGTTCCCCTGCTTAAGCAGGGGGCTGGACTAGAAGACCTCCAAGATCCCTTCCAACTCTATTCTGTTCTAATTTCCAGTCTGCCCCAGATGGGTCTAATTTCTGGCAACATAGATCATGATTTTTGTTCTTTGATGGCCATTTCAAGAAGAAAAAATCTGTGTTTGTCTTAATAATACATTAGAAACAAAATAGTAGTATACAACATAATACAAAGTTAAAATAATTTAGTCTGTGTTAAACATACATATACATAGACAGCCAAAAGAATTATGAATACATTGGACATTATGAATACAGCACACAGATCACCTTTGATGGAATAAATGATTCATTCGATCTTGGTGCTGAGAGTTTCGGCACCATAAGTACATTCAGAATTTATTATACTATTTGGAAATCAAAACCACATTAACTGAATCACCAAATTGCAGATCACATCTATTTTTGATATCACTATTGCATTATTATTGCCCCATATTTGGTTATGCTACCAAATTAATTTCTTTTAATATTATGTTAATATCTTCAGAGCTATTAGAAAATTCTGAACTTCTGAATTGTCAAGATTTATGAATGGGTTACTAAATATCAGTTATCTGGTGGAATAGCATTCTTTTTGACTTGTCAATAGAAGAGCTGTTATGAAGAATCAGTTTCTTGGGCATACGGGTCTGTTATGTTAACAGACAAATTTAGGAACATAACAGCATGTTTGAAATGCAGAAAAATATTAAAATCACCCTTTGATGTTTGCCATTATATATTAATTTTGATAATCTGTAAAAAGATTAACAGATATTTGTAGAAATGAAGACCTTGTATACCAAATGTATTGAATTATATTAACATCTAACATTAAAAAACCCTTCAGAAATGTATGCCTCCTACAAAGATGTTTAATTTTTTTTAACCAAGTTGAAAGACAATAGATAAAAAATTCAACTGCTGTAATAGTTTTGCATATACACACTTTCCATATGGAGTGGCATGTAAGGTAAGTCCCAGAAGTGGCTTAAATCAAATTGAGAGAACTAAGCAAAAATTGGCATCAAATATAGCAAGTGAAATGTAGATATAAGTGGTCAGAACAGTGGGATTCTTTAAAATTCTTTTCATATTGAAACATTGTACTATCTTATCCATTTATAGTTACTACAGTAGGTTTTCACTGTTAAGCAAGAACAGAAATCAAGGAAAGCAGTTCTTTAGCTTCATAGTAAAATCACAGTAAGACAATGCATTGGTAATCCTTCGCAAACTAAGTTTTGCTGCTCAACAATCTGCTACTAGGGTGAAAGGACACAATAAAAAATAGTCAAAGGATACATGCTAAATTCAGTTTTTGAATCTTTTAATGAAAGTTGTTTTCCACTGTTTGGCAGATAATTGCTTGCCTCCATTTTTTGGTGTTGAAATTTTTCTTTAGGAATTTTCTTCTAATAGAAAAAGCAGTCTGAGGGGGATTGGACAGGAAATTTGTAAGAAAAAAAGTGAAAGACTCTCTGCCATGGGATTTAATAATAGCCCTTCTCCTGCCAGTTTAAAATACAAAATATAAATACAAAAACTAATCAGTTGGGAGACTTCTAGTCTTTTTTCTCACCTATAGCATCTGGTATAGTTTGACTATTAAACAGGTGAGTAGGCACTTGAATAACCAAGTGCCAACATATTTTCCTTAAAACTGACTCCACAATTGTCAAAAATTTACTATATTTTTGAAAACAAAGCTAAAATAGATCTACGGGGACTATTCAGACATAAAAAGCAGTTTGGGAAATCTTTTATAACTAATGGTAGAGAAAACACAACACTTATTTCAGGTTGCCATGTGGATAATGCTGCTAGGGAAGAAAATCATATTGATTATCAGCATTACAGAAATATGAGAAATGTTGCAGTTCTTAATTTAATATCCTTTAATTACAGAACTGCTAAGAAGATCTTGAATGAAGCAGCACTATGCTATAGATGCATCAGGAGAAAAAATCTGATTGGTTTTTATAATTTACATAAGGAACTTTTGGGCTTCTAATATATCGTAAGAGCCAGTTTGGGTGAACAGGTAGTCCTTAGCTAATGACCACTTTGTTCAGACTGTTCAAAAGACCATGACAGCGATGAACAAGTGGTACTTACAATCAGTCACCAAAGTTCTAAGTCACAGCATCCAGCAGTCATGTGATCAGATTCGTGACTCTTTGTGTTCAGAAGTCAAGATCATGTGGGGTCTTTTCTTAATGATGACAACTACCATTGCTAAGTAGTGTGGTCTTGTAACATTGTGTTTAGCAATAAAAATTCTGGTTCCAGTTGCTGCTGTTAAGAGAAGACTACCAAAAGCGGTTAAACTACCAGGCTAGAAACCAGGAAACCATTAAGTTTTAGTCTCACCTTAGCCATGAAAGCCAACTGGGTGACTTTGGGTTGGTCACTTAGGCTCAGTTTTCAGAAATAGGCAACGGCAAACCACTTCATAGATTCATGGAATCATAGGGCTGGAAGGAACCTTGGAGGTCTTTTAATCCAATACCCAGCTTAAGGCAAGAGTCCTTATAGTATCCCAGACAAATGGTTGTCCAATCTTTTCTTGAAAACCTCTAATGATGGTTGTACCCACAACTCCGGAAGCCAAGTGTTCCACTGATTGCTCTCATTGTCAGGCAATTCCTCCTTAGTTCTAAGGCATATCTCCCTCTACCAAGCTTTCACCTATTGCTTCTTGTTCTTCCCCCAGGTGCTATGGGAAATAAATTGATCTCCCTTCCTTGTAACAGTACTTCAAGTGTAGGAAGACAAATAACACATCACCCCTAAACCCTCACTAGGCTAAACATACTAGTTCCCTTTGCTGTTCATCATATGATTTAGACTCCAAACCCCTTACCATCTTTGTTGCTCTTTTCTGCTATCTTTCTAGGGCCTCAGCATCTATTTTGTATCATGGTGACTAGAACTGGACGCAGTGATTCAAATGTGGCCTCATTAGTGCAGTATAGAGTAGTATCACTTCCTGTGATCTTGATGCTATCCCTTTGTTGATGCAGGATAGGACTGCATTGGCTTTTTAGCAGCTGCAGCAACTGCTGGCTCAAACCCAAGTGGTCACCAACTAGGACATCAAGATCCCTCTCACAATTACTGCTGTTGAGCCAGGCACCACCTATTCTATACCTCTGCATTTGATTTTTCTTGCCTAAGTGTAAGACCTTACTTTTCTCACCACTAAATTGCATTTTGTTGGCTAGAGTCCAGTGTTCAAGTCTGTCAAGCTCCTTATGAATTTTATCTTCTAAAATGTGAGCAATTTCTCACAGCTTGGCGTTGTCTGTAAATTTGATGAGCACTCCTTGTATTCCCCCATCTAGATCATTTATGAAGACGTTGACGAGCACTGAGCCTAAGACAAAACCTTGAGATACTCCACTGCATGCTTCCTTCCATGTAGTTCTGATGAGGACTACATGCTGAGTGCATTTGGTCAGCCAACCGCAAACCCATCTGGTAGTGATCCAGTCTATCCCACACTGTCCTATTTTACCAACAGGTAGGCTGTGATCTACATTACCAAATGCCTTACTGAAATCTAAGTTTACCATATCCACAGCATTTGCCTGGTCCACTAATTTAGTCATTATCAACAAAGAGAGTAAGATTTGTTAAAAGCAGGTCATGCCAAACATGATCATGCTGGCTTCTAGTAATCACTTTGTTCATTTCTAGGTGTGTACAAGTCCATTGTTTTCCAGGATTTTCTCAGGAATTGGTGACAAGATGATTGGCCTGTAGTTTCCTCTTTTTGAAGGCTTCTGAAAATGTTGCTAAGAAGACTGCAGGGACTTGTTCAGCAGTCACCAGGAGTAAACACTGACTTAAAGAGATTCAGACACAGACAAATAGACATATACACATTTATCTAATGTTCCTTAATTTCCCCTCACTATCCTTTTTCATAAAATTAGACTTGATGCTTATAGCAATACAAAACAGAAAAACTACTACAGGTAGTCCTCGACTTATGACACAATCGAGCCTAAAACTCATTAATTGTTTAATGAATTACTGCAGATGATAAATTAGTACTATGATTGTTAAGTGAATCTGGCTTCCCCACTGATTTTGCTTATCAAAAGGTCGCAAAAGATGATCACATGATCCTGGGACACTGCAACCGTCATAAGTATGAGTCAATTTTAATCACATGATCATGGGGCTGTTACAAAGGTCATAAGTGTGAAAAATGGTCATAAGTCACTTTTTCAAGTGCCATTGTAAGTTTGAACTGTTACTAAATGAACTTTTGTAAACTGTAGATTAGTCATTTTCTAAACTTTTCATGGCCAGGTAAAGCAAATTTGTATTTAACTGTAAGCGCCAAGGATGATCCAATGCATGCATATTATGGTATAACTTTATTTTCAAAACAGTTTTGTTACCATGTCCTTCAAATTAAAGAAATAATAGGCCTGTTTTCTTAGGTGCAACAAGTTTTCTAGCATCCATGAATCATTACTTTATCACAATGGTATAAACAATAAGTTTCTGATTTAAAAAATCCCTCCCAACCAGATACCCTTTTGTACATTATAAAACAGTAAACACGTTTATAACTTTCAAGTCATTGTTAAAGGTAAAAACCCACTAATATAGATTGGTCTTCTTCATGATTTTCAAGAATTCTTCCTCATTTATTTCTCCATCTCCATCACGATCAGCTTCATCTATCATTTCCTGAGAAGCAAGCAGAGGAGAGAACCACTGAAGATTAGGCACTGTTCTAGAAGCATCTGACACTATGTTCATGAAATAGACTTTCAGTGTTAACTTATAACTTTTATGTTTAAACTTAACATATTATAGGAATTATATATACTGTAAGAAGTTACAGTTATATGTAAAGTTATACGTAAGAACAAATTTATAAGTATTTGTATCACTTAAACATATGAAAAATGGCACCACACTTCTACCAGTGACAGAGAGATTAGGCTTGATAAAATCCTCTGTCTGTAGAAATACCGTATTTTCCGGCGTATAAGACAACTGGGCGTATAAGAGGACCCCCAACTTTTCCAGTTAAAATATAGAGTTTGGGCTATACTCACCGTATAAGATTACCCCTCTTCCAACGCACACCAAATAAAAATTAAAAAACATCAGATTTGATTTCAATATGGTAATTTTAATTCAAATGCTTATGACATGCAGGTACTTAGCAGAAAAACTGTCATTTATAAACATAAGGCTGTCATCAAACATATAAACATAAACCAGTGCAAGTGGATTAAACTTTTCCTAATTCACTCTAAAGCTGAAAGGAAGGATAAGACAATAAAACCACGGGAGCTGCCATGCTGTTTGTTTTCTAAGCTGTCAACCAAACTGAACTGATGATGATAGGAGGAAGATAACAAACAATAGAAAGAGCAAGTGCCAGGCAAGTCCCTGGCGAGTCAGCAACGCCCATCATAACTGCAAGCTATTTTTACAGGTTTTGCTTGCGTGACAGTTTCCCTTTAAAAGCGTTCAAAATCATCCTGTTCATCATCTGATATCATAAAAATATCAATGACATCTTGTGATACATTTGTAAGGCAGTCATCGTATGGATCGAATTCCGTATCAGATGGTGTGGTCTCAGCTTCAGCTTCCTCTTCATCTTGCCACAAGTAGTCATCCTCCATACCATCTAATGAATTTGATGTGCCACACTTCTTGAAAGACTTGATTACTCTTTCTGCATCAATATCATTACAGGCTTTTATGACAAACTTGCACAAAACATCCAACTGTGGAGCACGCATGTTTCCTCCTTTTGTGAATGACTTTTCGCCGCTAACCATCCATTCATTCCACTGTTCTCGAATGCGATCTTTAAATGGCTTGTTTAGGCACACATCCAGTGGCTGTACCAACGATGTCAATCCTGCAGGAATAACTGCCGCATCTGTGTTTATTCTTGCAAGCCTTTGCTTGGTGCTGGGAGTTAAATGAGCCCTGAACATATCCCACACCAGTAGACTACGTTTTTGAAGAAGTCCACCTGGTCGCCTGCTCCATACATTATCAAGCCATAGCTTTACCCCTTCTTCATCCATCCAGCCTTTTTCATTCACATGTACAAAACAACCAACAGGGAACTTGAGTTTCGGCATTGTTTTTCTTTTAAAAATAATCATTGGTCTCAGTTTGGCACCATCAGCTGTGCATCCTAGTACCACTGTAAAACTGGACTTCTCATGTCCTGTTGTTTTAATTAAAATTGTTTTTTCACCTTTTTGATGGACAGTTTTATTTCCAACCATATCAAAATTCATTGGAGTTTCATCCATATTTCCAATACTACTTAACGCATAGCCATGTTTAATGCGCTGTTGTATTACGTATCGATGGAAACTAATTACTTTGCTATCAAGATCTGCAGGTAATTTGTGTGCCATTTTTGTCTTTTGCCTCAGTACCATATTATGCCTTTTCAAGAATCTAGTACACCAAGATACAGTGGCCTTAAATCTGTTGCTGTGATCTGGGTTAGATTTGGCCCACTGAAGTGCAGACAAACATATTTTATTTCGTGTCACTACATAACCATTTTGGCGATGCTCATTCACCATGTCTGCTACATGTTTTTCAAGTTCTGGCCAATGTGGGGTGCCTCTTCTTAATGCACACTTACCCCTTGCCATACTCTTTAACGCTTTTTCATTTGCTTTCCAGTCCCGAACCATCTTTTCTGTTACTCCATATTGTCTTGCAGCAGCGCAGTTATTATGTTCCATGGCAAAGTTTACAACTTTAAGTTTGAAACTGGCTTCATATTTCCTTCTTCTTGCTGGTGGAGCCATGATGGCATCTTGACTGTTGGACATTTGTATACAGTACTGTATGTACTGGTGCTCTACTGTATGAACTGGTACAGATACTGGTGCTGTACTGTACCGGTACATACCCAGTATACAACAACCAGCCAATCATGGCAAGCGATATACCTTATCACTGGCAAGCGATGTACCTTACCGGTGATTGGCTGGTTGTTGTATACAAAGCCTGGTTGGATTGGGTGGGTCAGCTCTCCCTGCCTGCCCAGCCCTCCCTGTCGTCTTATATGCCCTAGGGAAAAAATGGACAAACTAATACACCCTTTCGATGTAGGGGAGAGGGAGGGAGGAAAGGGAGCGAAGTTTTCTGAGTTCTCATTGGCCACCTGTAAGCCCAAATGAGTACAGTATTCTCTCCTCCGCAGGCGCCCTTTTATGCCAGTGCTGAGCGTGTGTGTGCGTGCGCGCGGCATGCATGCGACTCCCCCGGGCTGCGCACCGGGATCTCCGGAGACTGGATCTCTTCCTCTTGGTCTTCCATCCCACGTGCGCGCACACACACACATGCCTCCTTTCCCTCTTCCCTCTCCCTCCAATCCTTCCCAGCTCAGAAAGCAGCGAGGAGAAGTGTGCGCACACACACACAACACACACACACACACCTCCTTTCCCTCTTCCCTCTTCCCTCTCCCTCCAATCCTTCCCAGCTCAGAAAGCAGCGAGGAGAAGCGTGCGCACACACACACACAACACACACACACACACGCCTCCTTTCTCCCTCCAATCCTTCCCCCCACCCTGATTTCCAGCTCGGAAAATGTGCTCAGAAAGCAGCGAGGAGAAGCGTGCGCACACACACACAACACACACACACACACACGCATGCACACACGCCTCCTTTCTCCCTCCAATCCTTCCTTCCCACCCCGATTTCCAGCTCGGAAAATGCAAAGCGTGTGTGTGCGTGCGCATGGCCTCCTTTCCCTCTTCCCTCTCCCTCCAATCCTTCCCAGCTCAGAAAGCAGCGAGGAGAAGCGTGCGCGCACACACACACAACACACACACACACACCTCCTTTCCCTCTTCCCTCTCCCTCCAATTCTTCCCCCCCACCCTGATTTCCAGCTCAGAAAGTGCAAAGCAGCGAGGAGAAGAGTGTGTGCGCGTGCACGCACACACACACGCACGCCTCCTTTCTCCCTCCAATCCTTCCTTCCTACCCCGATTTCCAGCTAGGAAAATGCAAAGCGTGTGTGTGCGTGCCCGTGGCCTCCTTTCCCTCTTCCCTCTCCCTCCAATCCTTCCCAGCTCAGAAAGCAGCGAGGAGAAGCGTGCGCACACACACACAACACACACACGCCTCCTTTCCCTCCTCCCTCTCCCTCCAATCCTTCCCTCCCACCCTGATCTCCAGCTTGGAAAGTGCGAAGCAGCGAGGAGACAGATTGAGACCCACAGGCATTTACCAGCCTGTGACTTCAAGTTAGCAAAAAGCAGCTGCAAACCACACGCCTGCTAGAGGTGAGCCGCGGGGACGGATTGCTGAAACAAACAGCTTAGAGTTTAATTGCTCTCCCCACTGCCACTCTACCAATCAAGGACTCTTTTTGAGTGAGGGGGGGGAGAGAAAACTTGATGAGTAATATACCAAACCACATGTGTAAAGGAATAAAATAGAATACCCGTATTTTCCGGCGTATAAGACGACTCGGCGTATAAGACGACCCCCAACTTTTAAGAAGGTTTTTGTGTCTTAGAAAGTCGTCTTATACGCCGGAAAATACGGTACTCATATTGTTCAGGAAAAACTGTCTAAGAAATAAGGATAAATACAAGCTATTTTTCACAGAATATATATAATGACCTTGGAATGTTGAATACGACACAAGGGAAAGAAAAAAATAGAAAACTGTCCGGATGGATTGTTTATTCTGTAACAGTGTATCATCTCTAAATGCACACTGAACATGCTCATTTTGTGTAAGACATCACATGCTCTTTTTTCTAATTCTATAAACTCTGATAAAGCATAACTGAACACCAACATTTAAGCATGTTATAAGCTTTTGTAATTCTTAACATGCTGAAAACCTATTAAAGTATCAACTCCTGGGACTTCCGGTTTTGTGCCTGCAGCGCATGGCTGTGCGAGAGCGGACCTCCGCTCCCCGCGGCTAGTTTCTTCCTGCTTGGGGGACCCTAGATGGGTCCGAAGTTGCCCCGAAGAGGTGACTGTGAAGGAGAGGCACCCTGATGATCACAAAGTAGTTGGCAATCACTTCGTTTGATCCGGGGAAAGCCCTCCGAACCCGACAGGAGAAAGGCTAGCGTGAGATCAACGTCTAGCCCAGGCTGCTTGCAGCCGAAGTCCCAGAGCATGAACCTGAACATCGGCGAACAGCATGCTTGGAATTGGTGAGAGTACTGATCTTCTTTCTTTTATCTACTATCTAAATCCTTGAAAAGATCCCCAAAGCAAGAAAACCTCCAGAAGTGAAGGGAGGGTACTGTATCCCCATTCCCTTACAGACGGAAGCGGCAAATTAATATTAAGGGAGGAAAGATATATACTAAAATTTGATTTAAAATACTTCAGTCTGGACAAATCTAGGAACTAAAATTTTTTCAAGATTATGCCCTAATTTTTTTGATGGAATTATAAAAATATATAACAAAAATAACTTTTTGATTGAAATAAAAACTGAAAAAAGAAATAACTGCTGATATCTAATAGAGAATCAGAGAACAGAAAGCTAACGATAAGGACTCAGAAATTGGCAGAATGCCTAGAAACAAAGAAAAAGTTGTTCCTTTAAATTGCAAATAACCTTGAAGACAGCTGGGAACAAAGGAAGAGCCAGCTATAAGATTAAAAAGTGTATGAAAGAAAAAAAAACACCTGGACTGTTGTTTAAATCTAAGAACTGTTCATGGAAAAGAAAAACTGGCTTTTTGGCTAATTTTTTAGAGGAGAATCTACAGGAAGGATTTAAAGTGGCTTAACATACTGAACTGTAACTTTGACTGATTGATAAATTGACTTTTGAATTAAAACATTGAGAAAAGATAATTTGAAGGGGGGAGACAACATGGATATCACATACGTATTAAAAAATGACAGGATGCCACATTCAATATTTTCTCCTGAAAGACTTAGCCTGGAAAATCAAGGGCCTCCAGAAGCAATACTTCAAGGCAAGATAAACACTTTTCAGGAGGAAACATATGTAATGTTAGGTCAAATACAAATGACAATAGACTCAAAACCACGAGGAAATTCGAAACAACTTTGATGATATAAACAAGCATATTTCCAATCTAAATCTACAATTAAAGAACACCCAGGAAATAACAACAAATGAACAAATAAATCAGACAGCAGACTACAAATTAGAAGAGTATGATCAAATTGATGAAATAACAAAGGAAAAGAATTACAATTTGACACAATCAAGAAAAAATCCACAAGGTTCTGATACAAGAAAAATGGAATTATCAGGAGAACCATCAAAGTTTGGGAGACAGAAAGTGTTTATCTTACTTACTTCATCTTTTGTATTCCCAACAACATTGGTAAAAATACAGGAACTGCTAGGTAAGCGGTTTACATCAACTTGGAAAATTACTCGTCAAAAGAAGACCAGAGAAAGATACAAGAGATTTGACTCGCCTTACCAGGTGGACCATTACGTGAATATGGTAATGTTTGAATATGGCTAAAAGAACAGAGAATTTTGAACATAAAGGGGCCTTATAACAAGAAGGATAAGAGATTTAAGTAATATAGTATGTTTTATAATATATGAAATGTTAAAATAGTAGGTTGATGTAACTTTTATTAACATGTTAAATATAAACTGATTAAAAAGGAAGTTTTATCTAGATACTATAAGATAGATAAAAAGTATAGTATTTTTATAATACATGATATAGAATATTGGGATGATGTACCTAAATGAAAAAAATTGGACAGTTAGATGACTAATATGAAGAAATTATGACTGATAAGAATTGGATTGAATATAAGGAAATTTAAGCAAATAAAAATTATAAAAATAGGATGCATGCAGAACTAAAGAGATGATGGTTATGCGAATAATATAAGTTGGGAAAAAATGTTATATAGAGAGATTATTATTTGTATAAATATAAAAATGCCTATATCTAATCATTTATATATTGAAAATATTAATTATATTTTGACTAAGGTTGAAGAAGAAGAATACAAATGGGAGAAGGGAAAATCAAAGAAATGTATCATTAATCAATATATTAATTATGGAATTATCAAATTTAATTATTATTGATTGTTAATTGTTATTGTCCTTTTTTAAAAATATAAACCAAGACAACACGCTATACACTAGGCACTGGAGATTGTTATAGTTAAAAACTAATAAAATATCTATAAAAAAAAATAAAGTATCAACTGTTCATTGAGGTGCTCCTAACTAATTTCAGACCCTTCAATGGAACCAAGATGTAGATCAGTAACACTGCTTATCAAGAAGGTATCAAGAAGATTCCACCTCTACTCCATCTATGCACAAGTTCTTTTTATCAACTTTTATTAATTTCAGTATTTTAATTGAGCACCCAATGTTTTAATGTTTTTAATTTTAAGTGTTTTATTCTGTTATTTATGGCATTATAACCTACCCAGTTATTTGATAGAGAGCATATAAATTTAATAAATAACGATAAAACTGATTTATATCCTTTTAATTATTCTCTTTTTGTTTTGCTTTTATTCACTTTTTAAATTCCGATCATGTTTTGAATTGTCTTCCACTTTGTTAAAATGAAGCATTAAAAATAATAAAATTTGCATTAAAAAAACACAAATTGTCTATTAGCAGCTAATTCAGAACAAGGGAAGTGTACTGAAAAAGTAAATAAAATAGACTCAATAGTTTAACAACACAGGAAAACAACACTGGAAAGACTAATCACTAAAAATGAATCAAAGGCTGAAGATAAATTTTTATTAGAAACCAATAAAGAGGACGAATTACAACTCTTATATGGCATGATATAAAAACCCAATATGCTATGTAAAGCTGAACAGTTACCTGCAGTTCTTCATCTGTTAAATTTTCCCCAAGTTCTTTGGAAACTCGCTTTAGGTTTTTAAAGGAAATCTTGCCTGTACCATCATCGTCAAACAGTCGGAAAGCTTTCAGAATTTCTTCTTTAGAATCTTTTTCATTCTTACAAAAACAAAGATAAGAAAGTAAAATAAAACAAAAACACCCCCAAGCATCTTACATCTCTCTATAATGATAGTAAAATCATGTTACCATTTTTGTGGTCATCATTGTTAAAAAGTCTTCAAAGTTTAGGGTGCTGCTTCCATCTTTCCCAATGTCTGCTATCATCTTTTTAATTTCTTCTTTCTTTGGCTCAAAACCAAGAGCACGCATTGCAACCTGCAATATAAAAGCTAATAACTTGTATATCCAGTACACACTTGAAAATTACCTACAAGCCTGTCTGCCTAAAAGAGTTGCTCCTGATTAAAGAAGTGTTAGTCCCATTGTTGTCCCAGGAATGCTATAGGTTCTTAATGTGGTATGCTCCACCAAATTGAGTTCCACCAGATGTAGAGATCTTTGCAAAGCTTTATTCCATACAGAATAATGTACTGTATTTTCCAGCGTATAAGACGACTTTCTAAGACACGAAAATCTTCTCAGAAGTTGGGGGTCGTCTTATACGCCCAGTCGTCTTATACGCTGGAAAATATGGATATCTTGGGACTTGCCTGGAAGCCGGACTGAGGCTGCCACCAGCCAGGCGACCCGCTTCTGCTGGTTCCCTTGGCCCATTCTGGCTTTCTGAACCAACCTAAGACAGGCACGCAAGCGGGGCCACTGAAGGGTTTCCTCCTGTTCATTTGTCGTGGGGGCCGCAGCAGATTCCGGAGATTTTTCACCACCACCCCAGTATAAACACGGAAGGAAATTCAAGGTCTCCGTGGCCACTTTTGGCCTGCAAAGTAGAGCGTTGCTTGGACAGATCCCGGCCACTCCTCTCTCTTTGAAAAGAAACCGGCTTAGATAGGATGAGTTTGAGATGGAGCAGAGAGGCAGGTCGCCTCATTTTTTGACATGCAAATCGTGGCCTTTCTGCTTTCTCTTTTTCTATCCGGGGATCCAGCCTCAAGCCCTCCTCCCCAAAGCAAGGAAAGCCCGAGCGAAGATTTCATTTCTTCACACGGCCGGGCTCTTCCTATCTCTTGCAGGGCAGGGTTTGAAAGTGATTTAGGTCCTGTGATCAATTCCCGAAGGAGGCTACCATTTTTTAAAGTGTGTGTGTGTGTGTGTGTGTGTGTGTGTATATCTATATATCTATATCTATATATTTGCAGAAAACTTTTGAGAATCCATAATCAGGAATAGAGAGGCCTCCTGGTTTGTTGATTTCATATATGTATTCACTCAACAATATTTTAAACACACACACACACACGATAAATATAAAACACACCCTTCTTCAACATGGCAACCATGCATGGAGGAAAAACAAAAAAAAAGGAATAAAAGAGAGGTGACTTTAATTGTCAGGCAAGGAAATAGCATTTCAAAATGGCTGGAGGATGGGGAAGCACTTCCACTTAAAGTCCTGCCTTTAAAACAGCAATGATGACGACAACGAGGCACCGGATTGATCTTTCTCCGATTTTCATAGGCATCCAAAGAAAGAAACTCGATTGCACAGAGACGACCGGGCAGTTTTCTTTGTATGTTACAAAAAAGGCTTATGCTGCTTTCTTCCCTGATGTCCCCCCTCCCCCGCCCATTGCAATCTACAGTCATGAGATTCCCTGGTGGCCTTCCATCCAAGGTTAACCAGGCCCGATGCTCCGGAATCTCCCAGCACAGCCCACTGTGAGACGCCGTCTTTCTCTGGTCACACCTCTTTTGGACCAGCCAAAGGGCTGAGCGGGCCTTTGTGGGGGGCGGGGTGGGATGGACAGGCAAAAGGAACGAGGCGGCCCGATCTGGGGGAAATAGCCTCAGTCTATTTGCAGGTTGCTCTCTCTGCAAGCTGGTGGCTCTGCCGGCTTTGGGTCCGATCAGGAAGTGGGGTTGTGAGCGGCAGCGCAGGTGGAATGCGGTGGGTCTTGCTTTCCCAGCTAATCCAATTAAAGGGAGGGAAAAGTTTACAGGTCCCCGGCGGGAAGAGCGTACAGTATCAAAACCAACATAAGGAAACTAAAGAGGAAAAAGAGACAGAAACAGAGATCGACAGAGAGAGAAGGGCCAGGTAGAAGATAGGGTGGGGGAAACTGTGGCCCTCCAGATATTGCTGAACTACAACTCCCAGCCTTGCTCACCATTGGCCGTTCTAGGTGAGGTTGCTGGGAATCGTCTTGGAGACAGGGAGGACTGGGCAGGCAGGGAGAGCTGACCCACCCAATCCAAGCAGGCTTTGTATACAACAACCAGCCAATCACTGGTAAGGTACATCGCTTGCCGTGACTGGCTGGTTGTTGTATACTGGGTACATACAGTACAGCACCAGTATCTGTATCAGTTCATACACTACAGCACCAGTACATACAGTACAGTATACAAATGTCCAACAGTCAAGACCCCATCATGGCTCCACCAGCAAGAAGAAAGAAATATGAAGCCAGTTTCAAACTTAAAGTTGTAAACTTTGCCATGGAACATAATAACTGCACTGCTGCAAGACAATATGGTGTAATAGAAAAGATGGTTCGGGACTGGAAAGCAAATGAAAAAACATTATAAAGAGTATGCCAAGGGATAAGTGTGCATTAAGAAGAGGCACCCCACATTGGCCAGAACTCGGAAAACATGTAGCAGACATGGTGAATGAGCATCGCCAAAATGGTTATGTAGTGACACAAAATAAAATATGTTTGTCTGCACTTCAGTGGGCCAAATCTAACCCAGATCACAGCAACAGATTTAAGGCCACTGTATCCTGATGTACTAGATTCTTGGGAAGGCATAATATGGTACTGAGGCAAAAGATGAAAATTGCACAAAAATTACCTGCAGATCTTGATAGCAAAGTAATTAGTTTCCATCGATATGTAATACAACTGCGCACTAAACATGGCTATGCATTAAGTAGTATTGGAAATATGGATGAAACGCCAATGAATTTTGATATGGTTGGAAATAAAACTGTCCATCAAAAAGGTGAAAAAACAATTTTAATTAAAACAACAGGACATGAGAAGTCCAGTTTTACAGTGGTACTAGTATGCACAGCTGATGGTGCCAAACTGAGACCAATGATTATTTTTAAAAGAAAAACAATGCCGAAACTCAAGTTCCTTGTTGGTTGTTTTGTACATATGAATGAAAAAGGCTGGATGGATGAAGAAGGGGTAAAACTATGCCTTGATAATGTATGGAGCAGGCAACCAGTTGGACTTATTCAAAAACGTAGTCTACTGGTGTGGGATATGTTCAGGGTTCATTTAACTCCTAGCACCAAGCAAAGGCTTGCAAGAATAAACACAGATGCGGCAGTTATTCCTGCAGGATTGACATTGTTGGTACAGCCACTGGATGTGTGCCTAAACAAGCCATTTAAAGATCGCATTCGAGAACAGTGGAATGAATGGAAGGTTAGCGGTGAAAAGTCATTCACAAAAGGAGGAAACATGCGTGCTCCACAGTTGGATGTTTTGTGCAAGTTTGTCATAAAAGCCTGTAATGATATTGATGCAGAAACAGTAATCAAGTCTTTCAAGAAGTGTGGCACATCAAATTCATTAGATGGTATGGAGGATGACTACTTGTGGCAAGATGAAGCCAAAGCTGAGACCACACCATCTGATACGGAATTCGATCCATACGATGACTGCCTTACAAATGTATCACAAGATGTCATTGATATTTTTATGATATCAGATGATGAACAGGATGATTTTGAAGGCTTTTAAAGGGAAACTGTCACGCCAGCAAAACCTGTAAAAATAGCTTGCAGTTATGATGGGCATTGCTGACTCGCCAGAGACTTGCCCGGCACTTGCTCTCTCTATTGTTTGTTATCTTCCTCCTATCATCATCAGTTCCAGTTTGGTTGACAGCTTAGAAAACAAACAGCATGGCAGCTCCCATGGGTTTATTGTCTTATCCTTCCTTTCAGCTTTAGAGTGAATTAGGAAAAGTTTAATCCACTTGCATTGGTTTATGTTTACATGTTTGATGACAAACAGCCTTATGTTTATAAGTGACAGTTTTCCTACTAAGTACCTGCATGTCATAAGCATTTGAATTAAAATTACCATATTGAAATAAAATCTGATGTTTTTTAATTTTTATTTGGTGTGCGTTGGAAGAGGGGTAGTCTTATACGGCGAGTATAGCCCAAACTCTATATTTTAACTGGAAAAGTTGGGGGTCGTCTTATACACCCAGTCGTCTTATATGCCGGAATATACGGTATTCATTTATTTATTTGTTAAATTTATTTGCTGCCTATCTTGCTGTGAGGCTTACTCTAGGCTATGCTAAACATCTTGTCTGTTTCTTTTATACAGTTTTTATATAGTTCTTACAAAGCACATCCCATTAAAGGAATATACAGCCATAAATAATTCTTAAATCTTTTATTGCTTTTACTCCTCGATTCGCACTGTAGGAATTGATAGGGATCTGCAATTAGCTTGTTTTAGGTTTATCTCTAATCCATGAAAATTGTCCTATTCTTCCTACATTTCATGTTCTGTTGGTTTAATAATTTCCATGCAATTTCATTTCCCTATATTTTACTAACTCTAATTTACGATTTTCTGTTGTTTCCCTGAGACTGCTGTCTCCCTCTCCCTTTCTCTCCAAAAAGATAGCTGCATCAAGGCTGGAAAAACATCCTGTGCTAAATTTTATCAACATGTATATGAAAGTAGTGGTTTGGAGCCTTGTCTAGGAGGAACTCCTATTTTCTGATATATATCAGATGCTTTTTCTAAGCACGTGCTTGCCATTTACTGTTTTATAAAGTGTTCTATGTTCCAACATGCATCACCAGATTAAGATTAAAAACTTTTAATCTCTGAAACAACAATACCTACTTTTCCAGGCACTCCTGAATTTATTTGTACCTGGTAGAACTCAAGATTCAAATAAGAAATAAGAGTTGATCCTGAAAGCACAAAATGTATGGTATGCTCTCTCCACAAGAGGCCATCTGTGGACCCAACAGTTTTTGACAATTACTGACCAATCTTCATCCTTCCCTTACTGAAGTACCATCTATGCTTTGTACTATTTTCTTATTGCAGTCAATACAAAGTTTATTTAAGTAATGAAGCAGCAAAATAAAATAAGGCAACCTGTATAATGGGCTTCCATGGGCACGATGAACAGCAAGGTTGGATTTTGCAAGCTAGTCCTGATGTAACCCTTAATAAACCACTTTGGGTGATATCATAGGTTTGTAAGAAACTATTGCAGCATAAAAAATTCAAAGCAAACTAAATTGTTAAAGAATACAAAGAAAATTAATACATACCTTCAGTTCTTTAATATCAATGCTACCGCACCCCTCAGTATCAAACAAATCAAAAGCTTCTCTGATCTCCTGCTTCTGATCTTCAGAAAGCTCATGTTTTAACCCACTGCTTTTCCGACGATGGGAGCCACTCAAACTTGGTTTTTTGTATCCAGATGCCTTCAGTAAATGCAAGTTAAAATAATGTTTGAAATATTTATTTCACGGAAGTTATATTCCATATTGCCAAACAAACAGTAAACAACCAACCAAAGAACCTCTAAGACAGCATCACCAACACTGCCAGGGGAAATCACTAGAACAGGGGTGTCAAACTCAATTTCATTGAGGGCCGCATCAGCATTGTGGTGCCCTCAGAGAGGCCGGGTGGGCCTGGCCCATTGGATGGGGGTGGCTGCGGTGGTCACAGCCAACTGGGTGAGCATGGCCACCTCAACGTTGCTCATGGGGGAGGACCCCTGTGGGGGGTAGAGCAGGTTGGAGGAGATCCAGGGGGTCTCTGGCGGGTGGGACGGTGGGCAGGATGCTCGTCCTGAGGAGTGAGGCGAGGCAGGGGCCGGGGCAGCTGCCTGACACCATCAGCCCCCGCACACAGAGGCCAGCGAGCGCATGGGGGCTGACAGTGTCAGTTAGCAGTCACAGCCTGCCGCCCCCTCAACCGGCACACAATGGCGCTCCGCAGCCAGCTGCGAATACCGGGCTAGCCCTCCAGCAGCAGGTGCAGATGGGACAGAGTAGGTGTGTCAGTGGTCCACATCATGTGCCGCCAACCCTGACTCCACGTGCTGCCGGTGCCGCCGCAATGCTGCATATGGAGGGCCGGCCTGATATTCACAACGGGTTACGCAGCCGCTGCTGCCGGACACCATCGGCTCCTGCACACTCACCACCTCCTGTGCATACACCTTGGGGGCTGCCGAGCTGGCTGAGGTTAGGCCAGTCTCTTGCCATCTCCGGGGCATCCTGGGGGCCAAATATCGGCCTTTTGTTTGACATGTCTGCATTAGAATATAAACTTACTCCTTTCTAGCACTGATGATGTTACCTAGTTTGGGTAATGAAACATCTGCAAGAAAACAACCAAGATCAGACCAAAGACCCCTCATTTCAATCTACAAATATTCTTCTTTATTAATACCACATTGCTTTGAAGTGTATATATTCACTACTAAGTGGTACTTATATTGTCCATTTGTACTGTACTTAGATATAAGCAGAATCAAAAATATTAGTAGGTAAAAAACAATTTCCCCCTTAAAACTATATTTCAATTACTTTATCTGTCTACATGCAGATGTAATTTGTATGTCCTCTCAAGAGGAATAGAAACACTTGACAGATGTGAATAAACTGCAAAAATTTGCAATTTTTACTAAGACTGGGAAACTGGAATCATACATGGCCCTAAGCCATGTTTATTTTTAATTGAGTGTGTTGTGGAAATACACCCGTTTTATAAACCATGATTTTCAGCCCGCTGTAGTCAGCAAGTTATGGCTGAAATCCACGCATGAGGTGCCTTTTTACTACAAGTATCACAGCTGCAAAGAGAAAACAAAATCCATTGTATTACTACAATAAATGCTATTTAGATCGCCCCTAGTTTCTTCATAACCCATTTCTTGATTTACGGTATTTATGACTTACGTGTATTCATTGGCAAAAAAAGACACCAGTTCTCTGCACATTTATTCAGGAATAAGTAGGGAAACTTTTTTCCCCCTCCCAGCAGAAATTCAGAAGATCGAGATACAACACTTGCTTTTTAAAAATCTGATCAGTTCTAAAAATATCCGCGAGTAAAATAGGGCATAGATTTACTACGGCCAGTCAGGCTGGATTTGGCGCGAAAAACATTCCGAAAAGTCAGGATGAATCACTTAGAGATTTAATGACGCTGTAACTTAATTCGGTTAACTAGATCCAGAGAGAGGTGAGAAAGGCTACAAAAAGATTAACAGATATTGCTTCCTTTACCAAAATCTGGGAAAACAAACACTCACCATTATCTTACAATAGCCGGGTTCACTTATTCAAGAAACCACACAAACCAAACCACCTGCAAAAATTGATTACGTTCCGCCTCTATGTGCCTGGATTGTCCAATGACAGAAAAGATTCCCGCGAAAACTCGCGTCTATTCGTTACCAAGGCCAATCAAGAAACGCGAGTGACGGTCGGGCTTTGTGACGCCATTCGGAGCTCGTGTTGCTGTTTCCGCTGGATACACAACAAACGAGGCGCTGGCGTCCTAGTAACCAGACGCGCTCCCAAGGACGCTAGGAGGTTGAGTGTTGGTTTCCTTGGGTAGCTGCTGGTTGACAAATTCTTTTGCAATAAGCCAAGGAAGGACGTGGTGGCAGAGTGAATTCAATGTGCGCTGAGATTATTGCGGTAGGAATATTCGGAATAAGGCGTTGGTTTTTGACCACTTCATGGGATGCTTTTCATTAACGAAAGAACAAGGTAGCCAAATTGACCCAGCAGGAACACCAAACAAACCTTCGTATGTAACAACGCAGGGTTCTTAGTGTCTGCTCTAGCCATTTACCAGTCACAGAAGCAGACAGTGAAAATAAATGTATCAAGGTCTCAGCAGGATCAGAACAATAATATTGGAAACTATTGCGATTTCACGAGACTTATTTCTAAAGGGTTTTTTTTTTTTGGCTCAAGTCTTTCATAAAATCCTTCGAATCATTACTTAGGGTTGTAAAGCCTCTTGTTCGTTTTTTTACACTTTTCTGTAGGGATCGTACTAAACTGAAGGACTATCGGAAATAATAAAAAGCTCAAGCAACTATATGAACTGAAAACAGAGTTGGGAAATAATTATTGACACGAATGAGTTCCTAGATGAAATAACCGGCAGATAAAGCAAAAATATATTTATAAGAGGACCACAGGATAAAAGTGATTCGTGAATTTCCTGTCGGTTTTTGCTATTTTACATAATTTACGATTTTCAATGAGCTTTAATAACTGACCTGAACATATCAATACCTTTTGAAGCAAATATTAAAACCGCACAACAAAAGATTAAAATATTTAAAATGTAGTAGAAAAATTATGCACCTTTTTCTGAACTCTTGATTAGAATGTATTTAAATATTGTAGGAGACTCCAAAAATAATTTTCAAAGCAATAGGAAAGTAGTGGAAGCCAATGCTGTCATTAGGATCCCACTCCCTGCTTTTATTTAGTTCTTTGCAACTTAAGATGCAGTCGAATTATATTAATGCTTATTCCCCTGTTCGAAAAGCTTCCCATGGTCTCAATAGATCTCTCTCTCTCTCACTCACTGTTTCATTTTTTCATCTTTTCGCTCAAGTAAGGGCAGAATGCGGGCAAAAGCTTCAGATGCTATCGAGCATGCTCAGAATACATTTCCGTTCGGGGCAAGCATCGCACAGAGCATGATTGCTCGAAATGTAACCGATGGCGCCTCCTTTGCAAAGAGGCAAAATTAGGGCCTTTATGGAAGAAGGATTAGTAGTTTCTTGGGTTCAAGGCGCGGATTCTAACATTCACAAGAAACTAAAGCTGAACAGGTAATTGCTTTAAAGCCGATTCAGTTCACGGGAGATATTTGGCGCGCTCCTTTGGAAAAACCTGCATCTCAATTCTGCCCAACTTCTCCCCCACCTTACTGGGCGAAGGGTGCGGGGGGGGGGAGGAGAGCAGCAGATGTTGTTGATTGACACTCTCGCGCCGCGCTGTCCCTCCCTCTGGTGACGCGAGTCGCATCTTCCTCGACCACTTCTCTGCTTCCCCAGAGGCGGGGTTGGGAATAAGAAAGGGAGCTCCCCTGTTCTCCCCCTATATTATCCTGAATCTGGGGCGACCAAGTACAAGTATTGGGAGCTGGTCTGGATGCGGTCCGAATCGTTCCCTTGTCGCCTCGAGGAAGAGGGTCGGGCAAGGCAGAGCAGGCGGGACGAAATAGCTGCTGCTCGAGGATTTCTCGCCTGCCGCGCGGAGAAACGGACAGCCAACCCGGGAGTCTCGCTGAGCTCTTGGGTTGGCAGGAGGAAGGTTGTGGAGGGGAACGGGATAGATTTAAGCAACTAACAAGGGTGTTGTGGCGCTTTACGCCGACTTCGATCCGGTTCTTCTATTCTCATTTGGGTGAGCAAGAGGGCGAAGAGCTCTTCCAGGTGGCAGCCAGCAGCTACTTGTTCCTCGGGCAGAAAGTGAAGCCAACTGAAGAAATCCTTTTCCAGATTTCTGCCTCTTCCTTCCCCTGGGCTATGGTGATGGACGACTGTTCTGTCTCAATAGTGGTTGACAAGGCCTTAAGTGGTAGATTTCCCGGCTCCTGTAGCCTTTCACCTGCCCAGGGGAAGCAAGCAGCCTTTCATTTTCTTTCTGGAAAGGACTTTCCTTTTGAGGAGGGTGGGGGAAACACAATTTGGGTTAAAGGGGAATTGGTCAGTTTCACCTTGTTGGTGGAGAAAAAGGTCCTTGCACTGCTGGTCTTTTTCTATATATATACGTTTGCCCTTTCATACCAGTGGATCATTTGACCAGTGAAACAAGATAATGCCATTTTCTCATCCACTGATCAAATAAGCATAACTGTAACCCAAGGTTCTGAAGCAAATTTTGCAGATCAATCCTGAAATTTTCCTACTGTGTCAGCAGAAAGAGTTTTAGCAAGGGAGAGTTGTGCCCTGCTGACCCCCCCTGAGGACTTTTTATATCAGAGCACTGCACGCTTCAGGGCCCACTGTAGACCTGTTTGATCTCAAATTGCCTGTTTTGGAGTGCTGAGTTTGCTGGTGACTCTGCTTTAATATATTTGTAATCACAGCATAGCTAGTTTCCTGTGCATCATTGGGTTCTGTGGACCTTAGTGATATCATTCTGTTGCCTGACTAGGGAATTCTGGGAATTGAAGTTCACGCATTTTAAAATTACTGAGGTTGAAATACACTATTCCAGAGAGAATATCATCTGGTCTCTTCCTTATTTAGAACTTCCCTGAACAAGTCACTATAGAAGCAGGCAACCATGGTCCCATCTATTGGGAAAAGTACTTGGTTACAAAATTGCCAACATGCTGACATATCATCATCAGAATTCATAGAATTTTGAAAAGCAACTGAGGAATGGCAGCCAAAGCCTTTGAAATATTTCAGTATGGTCCTTTACATATTTTACAATCAATCCTAACCTTCGGAAATTCCCTACCATAATGACCATCAGATTTTATTCTGCCAGCATAAGATCCGAAATACAAATAAAATAAATGTACAAACCTCGACTAAGGTTATCAATTTGTTCTCTTTTGCATGGAGTGGAGATGAATCTTTTTTACTGCAGGACTATTGGCAGGTAGGAGATAGAGACAATGGAGGATGGTTTTCTGTTGATCAGCTGGGAGAAAGAAGAGTAAGCACTGCACATCTGAGGATGTTCTTTCTATTCATGGCCTGCAGGACTGAAGACAATTAGGATATATTGTTTTCTAAAGGATTGACGGGAAGGGGTAGAAATTCAGATAATATGGATGAGCCCAAATGGTGATGAGTAGGTCTTACTGTTGCTATGCAACATCAATAGTGGGCCATAAACCTTTCCAATCTAGACACTTCTGCACCTTTGCAACAACTGACAGTACTCTTGTACAGCTGCTTTATTACATGAATAATATTTCAGTTATTCAGCTCTCCCCAATATAAAGTTTCTTCTCATATACTATAATGCATAAAATGCTAGTCCTGGTTAATGAAATTATTTACCCAATGCTTCAAATCATGCAGTCACCACAATGGATTTTTACAACACACTGAGCCACAAACTAGCTGATTGCATTTCAGTGTAGTGTGTTGTGGGAACCCAGCCCAAATGTTGTTTCTTGTATATTTCTTGAAAAGTTTTGTTAGTTCTAAAAAGAGCAGTGTAATTTCATTATTTTTATGTGAAATTAAGACAACAAACAATTGCATTGACGATTCTGTTTTAAAAACTTGTTCAGAGAAAAGACTGATATAAATAGCCAAACAAATTTAGATTATGAGCAAAGAAAGTTGCCAAGAAAAAAATGCTAGAAGAACTAACCAGTTTTGTGTTATATATTTTTTTCTTCCTTCTGTATTCATGCATATATCTAAGAACCTTACAAGCTAATAAAGATGTTGATTACTTTAAAAATATGTCCTAAGCATTTATTAGCAAATGCAATAGATATGACTATGCATAATTCTAATTTTTGGAAGGCTCTACAGACCTACTCTGTTTATCTGCCAGAAGAATGGGAGAAAGAGACTGCACATTCCAGGATAAACTTTGATTTTAGTACAAAGAGAATCTGCTTGCATGCCTACTCAGAGCAAATCCAGAAATCAAAGCAGCTTTTTTTCATTTGTCTGAGTTAATTGTAACACCATGCAGGTATAAATTGTTTGGTTGTTTTTTTTTAAAAAAATGGCAGTATTCTGGAAGCAGCACTTCCTCTTTTTCTTAGAAAAAGAAATAACTATTTAATTTTTGATGGAGTCTAACTATCTTGAAGTTTAGAGTTATGAAGAGATAGAAACACAATCATTCATATATTTTCTTTATAAGCAAATTGTATTGCAGGGATCTCGGTGGCCCCAGATTACATAGGGCTCTTGTGAAGTCCCCAGAGTCTAAGTTAAAAAGGGACATTAAAAATTGTGACAGAAGAGGAGAAATAAAGGTGAAATAATTGTATTATTCTTATTAAATTAACAGCAAATCAAATCTAGTTTTGTCTGGTCCCATCTTGCTGTTGCTCAGAGATCAAGTGCACTGCTAAACTTCCAATGGTTGTGTAATGGATAATGCTTGAATTAATAGTGCCAATTTCTGGCAATGGAGTCTGGTCTTTATTGCTTCCTATCACTCCACCAATAATAAGCCAATTGCTCAATTAAGTCTTTACTAATCCCAATACATTTGGTTAAAGTTCATTCCTTAATGCTAAAGCTAGCATTTCATTTATCCAGTATTCAGCCATATCAACTAATTTCTATGAGATATAGAATTTAATTTCTGTCTAAACGGGGTACATCTTTATCTCTGAGAAACATATCAGCAGTGTCCAAAGGGTAACATAAAAACCAAAACAACAAATCTGTGTTTTGTTTGCAGCTTTCCTGGGAACATGGCTTTCAGAAATGTGAACAGAAAGAGACATATTGGTCTGCAACAACTTTCAGCTTTGGCTTCCACTGGACGGACACTTTTAGGACCCATGAAATTGTCCAAATTTATAATTGATGAAAATATTCCTGGTGGTGTGTTGATTTCTTCTCCACTAAGACTTCTTGAAAACATGGACTTAAACAGTGCTGTTGGGCAGCTTCTTAATGAAGCCATCCAAGCACAGAACAAAGATTATAAAACAGGGATGACCACTCTGCTCTTTCTCGTTGGTGCATGGAGCAATGCTGTACTTGAGTGCCTTCAACATGATGTTCCACTTTCACTCATAGTAGCTATAATGTCTGAAGGTCTGGATTCTTGCATTGAACAAGTGCAGTCTATTACATTATCACTACACAATATACAGCAAAAGCTAAAGGATATTCCTATAGAATGCGATGACTTGAGCCTTATCAACAGTAGCTGCAGCCCCTCTGGAAGGCAGTTCACAGACATTAAGATAACAGGTAGCAAGTATGGCACTAGTATTTTAAATCTGCTTAAAAATGAACTATCAGAAGAAAAATCAGAAGATCATATGATCGAGCAAACAAATGATATCAATCCAGGCACCCCCATCATCAACAGTACGAAATGTTTACTATCTGAGTCAATGAGCAGCAATTTTGTTTTCAGTGTTTGCAAGACAATGATTCAGAAAAACTCTGATTTGCATAATTGTCATTTGGATGTATTGACTTATAACACAAGATCAAAATTAACCCACAGTAGATACTTTAGCTATGTAAATAAATGTCCATCAGCACAACGAACAATACATCTGGATGGATGCCCAAAACCTTTTGACAAGTTCAGTTGTTTGGGACAACTAGCATTTTCTCTTAGCCATGGAAATGAATCTGCAACAAAACTGATACAGGACATTCTCAGATGCCAGCTTCCGGGTGCCAATCAAAAAACTGATACCTGTCCTTTCCAATTTAATATTTCAGAAATTGTGACATGCTCTTTATCAGGAATATCTGAAAGTCATTCATGTGTTTACCCTGGCTTTATTACGCTTGTATGTCCAGCAAAAGCTGCTTCTATGAAGCAATTTCAGGATATGCCTATTCGTGTTATCCTTATAGATGGTGATCTAACTGAAACTTGTCACCATTTAGGGTTTAACAGGTTAGAGAATATGAGCATATTTTCAGAAAATATGTCTCATTCAAAGGAAAGCTCAAGCTTATGGGTTGATTCTGTAATAGACCTTCTGATTCAGTCTAATATTAATTTAATTTTGGTACATGGTGACACGTGTGAAATTCTAGAAGAAAAATGTCTCCTACATAAAATAGTGATAATTAATCATGTGGACCATAATGTTTTGATAGCTTTTAGTAATATTATGAGAGCTGAGATAGTGACTTATATCAGTCAAGTGAATGAGGATTGCATTGTCAAAGGCATATGTGTGAATCTCTATGGAACTCTGGAATTAAATTTGGTGGAGGTCAATGGCCAAATCCCACTTGCTTTAACAGCAGAAGGATTTCGATTGGTAACAGTTGTGCTCTGTTGCCCTTTTATGTCAAAGATGCAAGCCATGGAAGATCAGTTTTGGACTTGTGCATATCGTCTGCATCATGCACTTCTTGATCAGGCTGTTTTTCCAGGAGGTGGTGCAGTTGAGCTCCTATGCCTCGGTTTTCTTGAAAAACTGGAAAAAACAATTCAAAACTCTACAAGCCAGCTTCATTTTGCCTCTTCCTGGTTTACAAAATCTTCAGAACAATATAAATCGTTGGTACTTAGTGTTTTGGCAAGTGGTTGGCGCCAGTACCTTTTTGCTGTCATGGGTAATATAGCAAATTGTACATCAGAGTTTGAAACCAGCACTGTCATACAGCAGCATCTCAGAAGAGCAGCCATGTTTGGTTCACCATCAGCCTACATCTTGGAGGAATTTAGGAAGGGAAAGATAGGAGTAACTTTGAAAGTGTGTGACAATATTACTGCTAAGATAGAAGCTTGGCGCAGAGCTCTACAATTGGTGCTCTTGGTCCTTCAGACTGATGCTGAAATTATTGCAGGCCCAAAGAAGGATGAATTGTTGAAATCACAAGACTCAGGCGACTTCCTGTTTTTATAGCACTCTGTTGCTGTTAATGGTTAATTAACACTATTAATAGCTATTAATAGTATTTGTGGGCAAAATCAGGAGCAAAAATATCTCTGGAAATACAATCCAGAATTATGGAACCTTTGTTTCATAAAACAAAGTTTACCCCTTTAATTCTATGAAAATTTTGTCTTATCAAACAGAAATATTAAAGAGCTCAACAGCATAGAAAATGTACTTTTAAAAGCAATGTTTGTATCAACGTGTTCATTAAATTTGTTTTAATGCTTTTTGAGCATTTACATTTAGAGTGTAAAATAAGGTTTTTAAAATGGTTATATGTACAGAATATGTGTGAGCAATAAGCTCTGAAAAGTAATATTTTAAATATCAGAAATTACACTTCATTTTTTTCTGTTCCGGTTTGACTTAAAATTTTTGAGGTTAATTGCTGTTCTGAAAATATGTATGTATAGACAATCTCTTATACAGACCCAGTTTCAAGTCTGAGAGGACTTTCTAGAAACCTGTAGTGTAGTAAGGCAGACTTACATAGCTTGAGCTATTGCAACAGTATTCAACTTCTGAGTCTAGCTGATTTTCTTTTCTCATACTCTCCTAATGTGCTCACTGTAGGGCACTATGATGGTATCTAAAAGACACCAAGATCAACAAGAGATATGAAGGCATGCCCTCCCCCCCCCCAAAAAAAACCTGACAATTTTAAAAAGACAAAAAGGGGGAAATAGATATTCTCCACTCTCCCCCATTTTCCCTTTGGATTTTGTATACAATTTTCTTCCTTTTGTGTACTTAAGACTGCTGGCTATGGCTGATTAAATAGCATGATATTCTAAAAAAATAATAATAATCTAGTAAGCTAAGAGACTGGCCTGTATGAATCAAGAAGCTCCTGGTTCAAATTTGCAGGATCCTAATGAATTGTCTTTAGATAAAATGTAGTCTCCTTCAATCTTAAAATCTTGCAATATATATAGAATATTGGGATAGGAGTATTATAAGAGTACTGAAATATGATGCTAGAAGTTTCTTGAATACCTAGGTAATATATTAAACTCACTATACACTCTAATATGATAATTGCCCTATTAATTTCAGTGGGATGCATTAGAGAATTATCCAGATGTTTTGACTTTCATTGACAACGGTCCTAATGATCTGTGTTTGTAAGATTTCTAGGGCAACACATTCAGACCCCCATTTAAACTTTCTCTTCCTTTCTTCCTTGTGAAGAAACCATCTTCTTCGTATATCTGTTCTGTGTCCCTAATAGATTAGAGGCCTTAAGAAAATGAGAAAAAACTTCCATCTACTGACCAAACACAGCATACTGGAGTGTAAAAAGAACGGACTGTTCTTTTTAGCCAGCAGATGGCAACCTATACTGCTATTTGCTACTACCTTAAATACAGTTAATCTTAAACATTTAAATTTAAAACAATATAATTGTGTTGCACATAAAACTATATTCATGTAATCTGTGTTCATTCAGTGTGAGAAAGCTCAGTTAGAGAATCAAATAAAAGCATATTTGCACATCATCAGGGAAGAAGGGCTATTCTATCAGCCTGCCCCGGGTGCCTGATGTGGACCCAGCAGGTTTTCAGAAGGAAGTTGGGATTTTTCCTGAAGCTCTGCTATGTTGTTTGGAATGAACATGCAGCTAAGGCCTTATATTGAATCATATATGTGCAGATGCTTTGGGTTTTTGAATCCTGTAATGCCCACTGTTTTAATGAAAGAACTCTTGGAGATGAAATTGTGCAGGAGATTCCTGGTGTACTGCTAGAGAAACAATGAATCCAACTGAACATAACTGACAACCTTCTTTAGGACATACTTTGTGATAATAACAAGTCATAAAGAAAACGTATTTCTCAGCTTTAAGCCCACCCATCTCATATACATCACTTTAGACAACTTATAACAACTTATAACCCTCTTCCTGGTAACCAGGCCCCTATTTGGTAAAAAGAATCCAAGGAAATCCGTGTGGGGCCACTGTGTCAGGCATCTGTCAGATAAAATCGCTCAGATTATTATCTGGGATTCCAGCTCGATACTCCTATGAACACGACTAGGGCATGTTTAGTTATCTGAACATAGTTTCAGACAGTTGGTCCTGGGGAAGGGCGGGGTCCTTGCAGCTGGGAGCTCTGCCACCTGTGTTCTGAACCTGTGCCCCTCCTGGATTATCAAAGCTTCCTGGGAGATGATATAAGGTTGCATCCAAGCGGTGTTTAATGCCTCTTTGCAGAAATAGGTGGTTCTCTCTGCCTTGAAGGAGGCAGTAGTTCACTTCAAGAAGCCATTTCTAAACCTGACTTTTTTAAAAAAAACTTTTGTCCAGTGGCCTACTCTCCCTTTTTAGGAAGGTTGTTGATATGGTGGTAGGTGCTCAGCTTCAAAGAGCCCCAGAAGAGGATTTTTTTCAGTTGGGATTCAGGCTGAGTTGTAGTAGTGAGAAGATATTGGTACTATGGAGTATGGGAAAGACATTTTGAGACTGGTTGAAGCTGCCAAGATCAGATAAAACAGCAAAACCTCAGCTGGAAAGAAGGAAGGGCAAGAACTTAGAAGAGACATTCCCAATTTTCTCCGATGATAAAGGAGATGTGGGGAAGAAGGAATTATACATCCAGACTCACAAGATTCTGTCAGTGTAGCATTATAATAAAGAAGAATTAATTCATCTGGTTGTGAGTCCAGTCTGGTTTATTCCATGAGGCTGACATCAATCTAGATGCCCAGAGTTGCTTTGGATAGTGAGATGAGCATATAAATTTAGTAAATACAATCTCCCAAGTCTGAAATATTTCATGAACAGCTACAATATAGGTCTGTTTGCTGTCCCAGCAGACTAAAAACAATTACTCAATTATTTTATTAGGCTAGCACAACAATGGTATCCACACCTTTCTGATTTCCTTGTTTATATAACTATAGTTATAAAGCCACTATTTCATTTGTATGCCTGAACATGCTATGTGAAAAAGATTCTTCACTGAATGCATTTTCAGTGGGGATAAAAAGCAAATAGCCAGTTTACCAGCCTCCTGAAACATTTTTCCTTGATAAAAGGAAAGTTTCTCATAGTGTACAACAGTATGAACAGGACCTACACAAGGCTTCTATGAGATGTGTTCCTTGAAATAAACAAGTAAAGAGGAGATAAAGTGCAGTTTGATGTTTATGTATACAAGCTTTATTTTTAATTTTTCACATCATTTCTAGAACACAGCAAATTACTTTTCTTTACACAAAAATATTGCACAATTGTTTTCACCCTAAGTTTCTTTTGGAAAACCATGTTCTGAGTTCTCATAAAATTCCTATCCACATTAAGTTATATTAAAAATTTGGACTATTGTGCCATACAATACATTTAAACTTTTTGTTTGGTTCATCATGTTTCTTGAAAAAAGCCATAATTACTGGGTTTGTGTATTGCAATAAATCAAAAATCCTTGTTCACAAACCACAATAACTGGGTTAAAACCACAAACTAAAATCAAGAAATCATATGGTTTGGCACTATGCATAAACAACTTTTCCAGCTTCCTTTTTGCCTGCTTCCATTTCCTATAAGTCATGCACTTCTTGACATTGCTTTTTCTACTGTATATGAAATGCTTTTTTTTTTTGCACTTTCAGATCTGTTTTAATTAGCATCGTATGTAACATAGCATTAGTATATTATTTCCTAGTCTTTATGTCTTCAGCCAAAACAAGCATGCCTCAGAATAACAGAGTTGAAAGAGACCTTGGAGGTCTTCTAGTCCAACCTCCTGCTCAAGCAGGAAACCCTGGCCTATACCATTTCAGTCAAATGATTGTCCAATCTTTTCTTAAACAATCTCCAGTGTTGGAGCACCCACAATTTCTGGAGGCAAGTCATTCCACTGCTTAATTGTTTTGTCAGGAAATTTCTCCTTAGTTCTAGGTTGATTCTTTCCTTATTAGTTTCCATCTATTGCTTCTTGTCCTGCCTTCAAGTGCTTTGGAAAATAGGTTGATCCTCCCCCTTTTCTTTGTGGCAACCCCTGAGATATTGAAACACTGCTATCATGTCACCCCTAGTCCTTCTTTTCACTAGACATACCCAATTCCTGCAACTGTTCTTCATACATTTTAGCCTCCAATCCCCTAATCATCTTTGTTGCTCTTCTTTTCATTCTTTGTAGAATCCCAACATCTTTTTTTTATTGTGGCGACCAAAACTGGATGTAATATTTCAAGTGTGGTCTTACCAAAGCATTATAAATGGGTATTAACACTTTGCATGATCTTGATTCTATACATATTCCCTATAAACCTAACCTACTGTTATTTAAACTCACATATATTTGCATTTTAGATGTCTAAGCACATGACATTAGCTTTAGGACCCTGATCTTGCACATAACCAAGGTACAATACTTTCTCTTCTTTCAACCAGATTGTTGGTACATATATCCCAACATAAAGTGGAAGGACAGGAGAGTACATTTTGACTGCAAATCCAAAGCTCGGTGGGAGGCAGAAGAAACTTCCGTCTTGTCTAAGCAGGTTGTTTTCTGCTTTGGTCTTGAAGGAAAGGGAGAGAAATAGTTAGAGATCTGAAAGTAAGCAGATCACCTGGGAGAAGGACCAAAAAGGAAGAACATCTGAAAGAGAGTAAAGAAATTGATGAAAAAATGTGACCAAAGGGAAGACTGGAAATAGCTGTATGGTTTTGGTGAGCTATTTTCCATGAGAAATAGAAAGGTCAGCAGGAAGAACTGTATGTGGTAGGAGGGAAGCGGATCTCTGGGATCTAGGAGGATGTAACTCAAAGCCAAGAAAATCTTCAGGGGACTGCAAAGACCTGCCTGGGCATGAGAATACAGGAATTGGAGAAGCGAGAAGGTCCTGAACCATGAATCAGAAACCTCTAGGAAATTAACAGGAGACAAGAAGAAATACTCCCACTAAAATTTGGATTAAGGATTGCAATTTGTGGAAAATGGGGATTAGTCATGCCCATCTAAATGGAGAAATGACCTGGAAGATAATTCCTGCTCTTGGAAATAATATAAAAGTTCTAGGCCAGCATCTACAGTCAAATCTCATTGCTTTTATATATGCAAGTGAGCTTCCTGGATTCTGATATTTGAAGATGATTATAGCTATTTCAAGAGATTTGCTTCTGAATTTTGTAGCAGAAGTTGATCGTCTTTTAAATTACCTTAGGTCTTCTTAGTTTTGCACCATCTAAACCAGTGGTTCTCAACCTTTCTAATGCCATGACCCCATAATACAGTTCCCCATGTTGTGGTGACCCCCAAGTGGGTGTGGCCACCAATAAGAGGGAGTAGGACAGCTAGGGAAAAGGGGAAAAAATGGCGGACAGCGTGGTTTGGCGACCCCCCTGAAATGG